GAATGTTGCCTCCAAACTGTAGTCCTCGACAAGTCACAAAATAAAACCCATTTAATAAAAATATAATTCTACAACAACAACAATACTCGTGCTCGATGCACTCACAGCGTGTCACTAGTCACTACCTATTCTCACTCATCTCTTGTTACAGTGTCACGTGATATCCCTAATAATAATTGATATTGCTAATACTAATACTAATAACTATTCTATCTATGTAATACATAATTGTAAAGGATTATCTGTCAGTTCTCAACAGGGGTCTGTGAGCAGCTGGGAAATTTGTCTGAGCATGCGCCAGATTAACCAAAATTTCCATTGAAACTTGAAGATTTCCCCGGAGAAATATAGCGAAGACGCTCGCGGTTGTTGTATATTTTTCGAGATATTTTTGAATGCCTGTTTAAACTTTTTAAACTTTTTTGCTTGAGTCAAAGACAAAGTAAAATGTACTCTACGTTTCCAGTGTATAGAATATCTGTTTGAAGAGCAATAGAATATTATAATCTTCACACAAACAAGACTGAATCTGATGCTCGGTATAAAACGCCACTGAATCGTCGCGAGGACGCGAGCTTAACAGCCTTGTCAAATGCAAAACAAGTACAAATTTTGGTTCAAACAGAAAGAAGTTCAATGTTAATACGACTAGCATATATTCTATTCAAATACGGGCGGTTTAAAATGTATTTCAATTGAATTTTTAAAGCTTTTATCTATTGATATGATAATCAAACTGTGGCGAAAATGCCGGCTTTTGTTGACGCTTTGCGAATGCAAAATAACTCCCCGTAAACAACATATTTCTACAGCAAACTCTCGCTTAGTCTTCAGATGCACTTGTATGTTCTGTTTTACGAGTTAAACAAGGAAAATATCCAAGAAACACTGGTAAATTATCGTTGTCAAAAAACATTTCAGTGCCGAGGCAGTAGCAAGATCTCAAGGCAAGTCAAGTTGTCGATTTCATTACATTTTCATAAATTTCACAGTACTTTGAATGTTTTCGAACTCTTGCGTCATACAAGAGCAGTAAACGCACGCATTTCAAAGCGAAATAAGACCCATAAGCGGAATTTTTCAACAAAATTTATTGTTAAATTCTGTTTCCTATGTGCCTTGGGCGCAAAAAAATATGATTTTGAATTTGGAGCAATAGGCAAATTTTTTTGCAATTTGGCCTGGTATTGCACCCTACCTATGTACTTTTGTGCTGCCAAAATAATCAAATATACTATTTTTAATTTCCCTTTATTGAAAGGATCTAATATTGTGGACCAAACTAAATCTTAATCAGCATATAAGGCTGCAAACAACAGCCAAGTATTAGCTGGGTAGTTTGCAAACTTTAAAAATAATTGTACCTCAAACTTTGACCTCCAAAAGTAAACAAATAGCCAATACTGCAAACATAATCCAAGTTTTGATGACTAAGCGGAATTTTTAAATGTAAAAAAACTTGTTTAAATTACACATTAAACAAAGGCAAAACAAAATTTGGTATTAATTTTTTGGAGCAAAAGTCAAGGTTTTTTGCTGTCCGCCCACGCTTCTACACCCCCTCTATCAGGATCTTCTATCTCAAAAAACAGTTTTCTGCGCAAACTATGCTTTTTTCTCGGGAAAATGTTTCTTTTTCTTAAAAAACGCTTTATAAACATGGAAACCTCAAATATTTAAATAATTTTCATACCTTTTTGGGATTGCAAAAAGCAAAATCTGATTCATTATCCCACTTTTTAAAATATATATGAGAAAGTTGCTTCGAAATCACTATCACGCAGTAGCATGTTTATTTACCCTCATCATTTTGACTGAATAGAGTTTATCTTTTTGAAAAGCGATTTTTGTTATAGCTCTTGGTTACTGGTTTACGTTTATGTCGATTTTGGTACCCATGAGACCAACAAGTTGCAGTAATCCTCGAATGAAAATGGATATTCGAAGAGCATAAAAGCCAACTCCTAGCCATGTAACTTTATCGCCTGAATTTTGAATCATTCCACAAACTAAAATGCTGATAATGTAGATGCTTTCCATACTTGAGATGTTAGTGAAGTTTTTCCTACAATTAATTTAATTTCCTTGATCGTCGTCTTAAAAATGCAAAATCATCAGTTGAAATTTCACTCGTCTTGTTTTTTCAAATTTTCGAATTTTTGTAAAATATCACGTGCGCCAGCAATTTCTCTGCAAAGCGGCAGCAAATTTCCCAGCTGCTTACAATGTTTGAATTACATGAAGTAGTAGGCATGATATTATCGAAAAAAAAATTAAAATCAACATAATTTTCTTCGTGATGAAACCTGGACGAAACTATGCGATTTTGTTGGATGATGACAAGGTATTTTAAATAAACACAATCGTACTTTTCTGCCCCCTGTGTTTTACACCACAGAGTTTATACGTTTGGCTGTGCTGCTTTATATTTTGAGAAGAAAGCGACACCGTTCGAATCAGCGTAAGAAATTGTACTTACGGATGTCAAGTGTATTATATTTTAGCGATTTATAGCCTTTGAAAATCAAGTGAAATTGTATTGTTGACAAATCGCTCGCAGTACTTAAATTTGTTGACACTCGCAGTACGTTTTATAGTGTATTTGTAATGCCTAATGGCGCAATAAGGATAAAAATACCACCGTTCGATTCAGCGTTAGAAATTGTACTAATTACGGATGTCAAATGTATAACTAAACAACAGAATTCTAGCGATTTATGGCCTTTGTCTTTGAAAATCAAGCGAAATTGTATTGTTGACAAATCGCTCAAAATTATTAAACTAATTATAAAAACTGCAGTACGTTTGATCCTTGATAACTTTGGTATCGTTGGTTCTCTCTTTTTCGGCCGTGTACCAGTGGATTCGTCTCACTTCTCTCTTCATTTTGATAGTATTTTGAGCCCAAAAGCCCCAAAATATTTTATTTTGAACGTTTTAAAATTAAAGCGCAGTTTAATCCTAGTGTATGGACCAACTGGCGGCTGACAGCCTTGAAGGATACGTTAATTTAGTTCAGTATGATTCAGATTGTTCCAACCACTGACGGATTTACAGGGGCGTAGGAACCATCAAAAGATTGGGGGTGCACCGGCTTCTAGGGGCACTTTAGGGTATTGAAAAGGGCACTTAAAAACTTTCCCCCGGAAATGTTGGCGACTGGGGGGGGGGAGGGGGAGGGGGAGTCGTACCATACCGAAATTGCACGTTTTTGACCAATTTTTTTAAAAAACT